TACGAGTTTTTTTTTATGAATGCGACTACACTGAGGGGCTGTTTTAATCTCTTTTAATTCTGTTTATGTGTAACATACAGAAGACGCGATTAAGAGGTGTTTAAGAGACACAATTTAGTACGTGGAACTAAGTAAGATTTCATTAAATGACTTAGACTTGGCTTGTAGCTTAGACAGGGAAAGTCATCCAAAAGTGTTGTTTTCGTTCTCAGTTTACAGTGAACCGGGATTGATAGCAGCTCATAATAATTGCAGGTCTTTGTGTCGTCATTGTTCTAGTTGAACGTTCTGCGTTTGACTAAAAGAATCGAAGTGAAAGTCGGAACTAATTACCAGTACGAAGGGTTAGCCTATTTCTGTAATCCGAAAAAGTACGTCAGAGAGTGGATGTCGTTACACATTTGTTGCTGGACTGAGATTGTAATATAAAGAGTCAGGTTTTATAAATTTTACAAGTTAATTTAAAATGTACAAAATCGAAACCTTGTCTACTGTTTTGTTCGGTTGTGAAATTTGGTCTCCCACATCAATGGAGTAACAAACGTTGATGGTACTTGAGAACAGGGTGCTGAGAAAAGAATTTGGACTTTAGTGGGATGAATATAGACGAAGTTGCAAAATAAGAATCTTAATAATTTGTTTACCAAATACTACGATGATTAGATCAATGAGGATGAGATGGGAGATGCATGTAATGTGTATGGAAATATGAGAAAATTAGAAGGTGTACAACGCCTGGTTAGTAGGCGACTTCTGGTGTGACCTGTCATTCCCTCGACATCACTCTACGCCACATCCCGAAGTATTATACTTGGACTTAAGAAGGTTTTATAAGCTAACTTGATTCATTTTTGAACATAGGAGTAAGTCTAATATAAAAAGCGAAAGGTAGTCGCGTTGAAGCCATCTACTTTGGTGGGATGGTGTGGGGGTCCACGAGACAGCAGCGACACCTCCATTAGTGCTGCCTGATGGCATTATCTGGTCCGGACTCTGTTCTAAGTTCTGCCATATCACAGCAAGAGCGTCACAAGTGTTATGGTTTCAGACTATGAAAATCGGAGTAAACGAACTGTCATCTACATTGCTGTTTTCAAGATTTTTTTTAATGATTCTTCCTTTCTGTCTTTATATACACTCATGTTATTGATCCCTACGCATGTGAATATCTCGCTCGGTGTTTGCGATTAATTTATGTTTTTAAATACCGTGAACTATGTATTCAAAACTTACTATAAGGAGTAAAAAATGTTGTAAACAAATATATAAATACTGAAACTTCGCCACTGTTCGTGTGTATTTTCCTTGAAAGTTGCAGAGTAATAACAACATAATACCCGTCATTACTATTTATTTCCGCCAATTCCTCGTGTAACGTCATGGTTTGTTAAGAAGGCAATTCACTTAACGACACTGTATTATCTACAGACGTTATTCGGTGATGAATGGTATGGGATAATGATATATACAATGAACTAAAACGTACGTGAATAAAGAAGTTACGACATACACGTATTATAAGAATTCCTTCTGTAGTCTTGAAGCACTCACAGAAGTCACAGCCAACCTCATTCATAATGGTCGTTAACACCCGAAATTCTTTTTTGAGAATTTTTCAGATCGTGGATTTACTCTGCCTGTTCACACAGTTCTAATGATTTCATAGCGGAAGAGTCAGTGGCAACTATGTAGAATGAATGTCGATGCTGAAATATGCACATGAACACCGATTTCCTTGTCGTTATTCGAACCCGCGATCCCAGTTTTCACTCGGCCTAAGGCAGTCTTGCTCCTGAATACAAGTCAGGAATTTTATAGTTTGAGCAAACGACGTGAAGCCATATTTTAACTTTGCCTATTAACAGTTGTTTCTTCGGAGATTGAAGGAAACTTGTCGGTTCAGGATAAATGGAAAATAAGTTCAAGCTTGCAGACAATCGCAGACAATGGCCATAAAGCCGATGTTATTTATGCTCATGCTTGAATTTCAGTTAATGAGTTTAAAATTAATTAGGCGTGAATTATTGTACAAACATATACGCAGGGCTGAAGATATTCGTCTTCTCGTCTGTGATGAATAATTCTTTTTTTGTCTTTTTTAATTTATATTATTTCCCGTGCCTTTTTTCTGATTCTTCACCGATATCGGTACATTTGTAACTGACGTGAATGAGGGCCATTGTTAACGCGACATTGACGTATCTGAAAGACGGGATGTAGGAAAAAGACTAGTTCAAAATAGTCCATCACTGGTATAATATTATAATAGAAACAGTAATAATAATACATAAACAGGAATTGATGTTTTCGGCACTAAACATTGCTGTATGTAAACGAAACAGTTGGGTAACATTGTGTTTCCAACAAATTGAGGTATTAGTTTGTGCCACTCTTGCTCTATGTGACTTCGCCAGTCTGATCTTTGCGGCGACAACTCTCGGTCGGGTGGAGTCTTCATCACTCTGAGAAGCTGAAGTATCTGCAGGACAATTAGACTGGAACTTAACCCCCACTCCAAAAGCTACTAGTATTGTTTTTTGTTGTTACTTAAGCTTCTTATATTTCGGTACTTCTGATTTTCTGTCCTGTTTTCTTCTTTCGTTTCAACAAACGAGCGTGTTTTAAGCCAAAATGCTCATCCTAGATTTTCCGAAATTTCGTTCTCATTTGTCATCTTTTCATGCGTGCTACATACCCCGCCAAGCTTATTTTTCGATTTAATCATCCTAACAATGTTATGAGAAGAGTGTACATTTTCTTATTCTTTTGCTTAGGTCATACCAAACAATCCGTCGAAACCCGATATTCTTTATATGGTAACCAGATAATGTTATTTTACGTTTCTTCCATCCATAGATAATGAATCATTCTGTTATAACAAGGGGTGCACTTAAAATCATTTGTTGTAAGCAAAGAAACTTTTAGGCATCCGAGAGGCCTTAAGAGTGGAATCTTTGCCTTTCAGGTCGACAACTATTCCGACTCTTCAGACACACTTAATCTCCTGTGTTTTAGGAGAATTTTTCCTAATATTAAATAAGTAAGTTACGTATTTCATAGGTCTGTAAGCTTTGGATCGAGTTCCTATTCAAATGGAATCACGCAATGAAAAGCAAGTTCTTCCCTGAACTTATTTTCCATATCAAGTAAATCAAATTTATCCTTCCATACCTTTCCCTGTGGCTTCGACTTAGCGCTCCAAGCAGACCTGAGAGTCTGTTACATCCAGCAAGATGGTGTCCTGTGTCCTAGAAAAAAAAACGTAGCCTGTATGAATTTTTCCTTAACTAACTACATGAAGCAGGGGATTCTTGAGAAGCTAATAGTCGCCCAGCTAGTTAAGATATAACCCATCTTTTAAGAATTCCGAAAGTTCATTTCCATGTTCATAAACGTCCTCAAGCTCTCAAGCTTTGCATTTGGAAGGTACCAGGTTCACATCTAGGCCCGGAGACAGTTATTTTGACTCAGGTGGGTTTTCTCATTTTCTCCATCCAAATTCCCAGTTATATTAAGTGATTTCAGTTTGTTTCAAAATCCTTCCCACTTCATTATTTATAAACATCCTGTTATAAGCTCTAAACACTTAATCTGAGCTATTAAGGTTGTTAATAAATAGGCCACAATTAAGTAAAATAACCTTGAATGGAAGAATTACTCAAAGTTAATTATAATAATAATATGTAAGCCACTGTATCTTTAAACAGTCTTTAAATATGAATATAATCTCATCTGACAATTTATTATCTGTCATAGATATAATCCGCCAAGATTTTCAAATATAATCAGCCGAATCTAGCATATTAAACTTTATTAAAACAAGTTCTGTTTCAATCTATTTATTATATTAACATAGATATAGTCACAACATGTGAATACCAGGTGTCGAGACTTAAGTTTATAAGGCAGTGTTAACAATCATTTATTTGTCTTCATAATCGATATCTAAGATTCAGAAGTTTATAAAAGACATTAAAGACGTTGTGGACTCATTGGACTATAGGTAAGACATCTGCAGTCAAAGAACGAGTCTGAAATTAAGAATCATGTAAACTGTTACAAGTTACAGAGTGGGAAGATCTTCTCCAATGGGGTGCCAGTATTATTGTGCCTTGTATTTAGTTGAAATGAAAGACATCTAAAGATGATTTTAACTTTTAGACTTCAGTAAGACCTACGCTTTGTGTTAACTGTTTTCGTTTGATAGACTTTTTATAAAATCAGTAATATTCAGTCTGGGCTTCGTGTTTCTTAAAACGTAAAGTTTTTCCCCGATGCTTAACTAAGCATCATTTTATACAGACTTTTAAGGTAATGGAGGTATACCCCCACGCATTTTTAACCTTGTCACGAGATGGAAATAAGTAGTTGGCTTCACGCTCTGACCGTTTTACTCCCGAGAAAGTAGCCCCGGTACCTATGGGTAGAAGGCTGGCTGCTGCCCAGAGCCGATGGCGGTGAAGAAATATGTTCTGGCCTTCCAGGTTTCGAACGCCGCTCTCCTGGTCCATAACGTATTTGCTGAACTATTCCAGATTCGCAACGAGTCACGTAAATTAGTGCTTATAATCTATCAACAGCACCAAAATTAAATTTTCCAACTTTCCGTGTGGATTATGAATACCAAATTTAATCTACATCTGTCCAGCAACTTCAGATATGAAATATGGGACCGACAAAAGTGATCTTCTCATTTCGCATTTGTTTTGTGAATTTCGCCCAAACAACGCATATTGTATGAAGAGCCATTTCGTTGATTATAATAAGTACGTTGTAGTGTCATGGGGGACGGAGCCCCTCTGCTGTAGCTGGAACGACAGCGGCTTCCCTCGTCGTCTTGCGGACCTACTAACTGACTGCAAAAGGCCGACTATCCGGCTCCTTCTTGAGCCTAACCAGGCGATCCGCGCCATCTTAATTCTCACATTCTGCCAAAGGAGCATGCTTCAGTAAATGAAAACAAAACCGACGCAAGTAAATCATAGCTTGGATTACATAATGGTGCTTTGTCTCTGTACGCTCACTGATAGCATACACTCCCGAAGGTGAAACTAAATTTTTATCTAATTAAAAATAGAAATTCTTGTAACAGGTCTTGCATCTCATGTTTTCAAGTCAAACTATAGCCGGATTATCATATTAATTAAAAAGGTTAGAATGACAGTTTTATTATTAAGTACAGAAAAAGAGGCAAAGCTCCTTGCATTCGGCCATCTTCCTTCCATATCCTTTCCAATTTCTTACTCATTAACCATCTCGTAATTTAACGCTACATAACCTGACCTGCTGACATTGTCGTTAAATACTACCGAAATTCTGAACCTTGGGCTTTCTGGACAGTTTCTCTGCGAGCTTTTCGAAACTTCAACCTTTTACTTTGCGGGGGAGTGGGCGACCTGTCGCAAGGTCCTTCTGTACCTACACAGGCCACAACACGACACAATATGGGGATACATATCAGAGTCAGAGTCTCTACAATGGGTACCGGGGTCCTTTCCCGGGGGTAAAGCCGGCCGGGGCGTGATGCTGACCACTCACCCCCATCTAGTGCCGAGGTCAAGGAAGAGAGGAGCTACACCTCCTCTCCCCCCAAGCGCCTACATGGCGTATAGTGGGACAAACTTTACTTTAACTTTACTTTACATATCAGAGTCTTCAGTTGGACCAGCACTGTTCAAGTACCCAAAATCCAAGTCTTAGATTGCGTAGCCGCTCCGATTGGCTCAGACTGGATGTCTGTTTGATATGTTTTGTGTGTAGAAGTTAAGGGTAATTTCAGGTTACCGTTTCTGGAATTATACCATTTATTGCAGTGAGAAATCACTTTTAGAAGTAAGATTAGGTAATAACTGTATCCCTTCCTTCTTAGGAACTTTACGTTCGTTTACAAAAAAAATGTATAAAAAGAATTTTATTTGTATCTCTTCCTTCCTTGTTTAAGGAACTTTAAATCAATTTACGAAAAATTATTATTATTTATTATGTAAAAGAACGACCAATAACTTTGCACTGAAATGTTAACTTTTTTGCTGTTCTTATAATGTCTATTGGATTGCGAGTTAGTTCACTCTCGCACTTCCTGTGGTTTAGCCTGCCTGGGAAAACACAAAAACCCTTTCTTCGTGGCATGAGGTGTTACGTGCTCCAGAGAGCCGCCCTCCTTCTAATGGTCACAACAACCACTCAGCTTCAAATTTGTAATATTTCTTCCCTTCCTCGACACTGATAATGCTCTCGTTTCTGCGTTCCTTTTGTGTGTCAGTGCCCTCCACCCTC